TCTCAACTTACATGGATCAGTTAATGAGAAGAGCTGCCTGGACGGATCAGTGCTCAGAAAAGGCTTTATTATTGAACTAAATAATTGTTCAAGCTAATTCCGAAGTCAAAACATGCAAAAAATTAAACCCATCTCATTCTAAATCAAAAACCAACATTTAGTAACACATAAAACTAAATGGTAACAATGGATAGCGAATGAGGGAGCAGCAATGCACACACTTCAGGGCAGTGGTGACCTAGTGGTGAGGGCATACTGTAGGGCTTAGAAACCTGAGGTTCTGAGTTTGAGCCCCACTCCCACAGACTGCCACTCAGGGTCCCTGAGTAAAGACAAAAACTTCACGTCATCTCAGGGCATGGCTGTTGAATGCACCCAAACTTTTGTTTATAAAAAGTTTTTGCACTCTCTTGATCTCCAACGCTGCTCATTGTAGTACCAACAGTATATGTAATAGACTATAATCCACTTTAAGTCGCTAAAACTGCAATTATTTAAAGTTTAGCAGTTTGTTCTACTGTGTTGCAGAACTCAACATAGCTGTTAATAAATAAACTCTCAAAATGCCTCATTTTTCATTTCTTTTCTACCACACCCCCCTGCAATGATACTCCACCTCCCCTAGAGGGCACACCCTTTAGTTTGGGAACCATTGCACTAATGAATCAGTCAACTAACGCACTACAGAAACCGATACAAAACCCCCCATATCGCTAATGTTGGCCAAAAATATTGGCCAGCTATTTTATCGGTCTGTCTCTAATAATCACACAAACAATGAGGCAAGATTTTAGGTTAATAAGAGTTTTCTGAATGAAGCTCAAATGCAAATATGTTAAAGGAAATATTCCTGGTACCACTTATTCGTCTCAGTGGTTTAATTTTTACTAAAAATACCGTAAGAACTTTTTATTTTTTGTTGCTCTCTGAATGAATCCTCTCGCGTTAAAGGTTGGTATTTCATGAAGGTTAAGACCTTTTACACATCTCTACCAGGGTAACCAATAAATGGGGCGATGTCCTTGAATAGTCTTTTTTTTTTTTTTTTTTGCTGTCCATGGCTTTACATGCCTATATGCTGAACTGATTTCAGACAGCTGGCAGCTTTTCACGTCCACCTTTAGAGGCGAATCTGAGAATTTATGCACTGCTGCACCACGTGCTAAAACTTGAAGGGTTTTAGTGCAGCTGTTACAGCTGCTGCCTTTCCTTATGTTCTTTTGATATACTTCTTTCTTTTGTGTTGTGCTTCCCAGACCCTCACCTTGACTATATAAGCTCCCCTGCTAGCTTTAGCCTTCCCACAGAAACTTTAAGCCTCCATCCTCTCTGCTACAAAAAAAAAAAAGTCTCTGATTTTTCTCCAATATTGAAACATTCCTTGAAACTGTCTTCGGTGCCCAAATCGGCTAATAAATCACCTAATCCCTGCCTCTAGCTCTTTTTAAAAGCGCGGTAGAGTGGAGCATTGTTGGACTCTTCTAAGGCTTTAGCCTTTTCAGAGCTTTCCCCTTGGACGTATTATTGAGCCTGGATCAATGGAGGGCAGAGCGCCCCTTTCACCCTCTCACCCACACTCTGTCATTAATCTGCTGGGTTCTAACATGCCCCCCCCGCCCCCTCCTTATTTACTCAGCTGACCCACTGCTGTTTGATGTTCAGTAAGAGGCAGGCAGGCCCTGGGACACACACACACACACACTGATGCCTGTGACCCACTCGTCAACTCTAAGCTCAGTGAAAGTGTAGGAGGATGAAGCTTCGTGCCAAAGACAGAGGTGGTTAACATGCAAGCGCCACGGCGAGGACGCAGCAAGGGGAAGGAGGTTATATCAGTCCCCCCCCCCCTCAGCAATTTGCTAGAAGCAGCGTATCTGTGTTTCCTTAGATCCACACCGTGATCACTATCTGATTGCGTGTGCGAGATGTCACAGTCCCTCCCTGCTGGGTGTACCGGGATCAAAAACAAGCGCCATCTCTGCCAAATCTTCATCATCCATCTCATTCCCAGCTTTAACTGTTCTTATCCGACAACTCGTACTGCAATTTATTCTGCCTTTTAAATCTGATCTGGGTCTGTTTGAAGTGGGCTTACGCTTCGGCTCTGACTTGATATTTTTCATTATGCAGTTTTATTCAACACCAGCTGTTTATTGCGCTTTATTCCACATCTGGATCCATCTGTCCATTCAGCTGTTCCTTTTTAGATTGTTAGCACTCTGCAGGGCACGCCACCCACTATTGAATAGAGACATAAGAGGCACACTCTATGGGGAACGCAAGATGTTGCCTCAGATGTTTGTGCTCATTAGGGATCATTGTGATCTGATGGACCTCTGTGTTTTTGCGCCAAAGATCCCAACAAAGAGTCTTTTTCCATGTCTTCTCTGATTTTTTTATTTTTTATGGTTCATCTCTCATTTTCTCAGGTTGTTCGCTGCATTTATCTGCCTCTTTGTTTCCCTCCATCCATTTTCCGTCACTTTTATCCCAAGTTGGGTTGCGATTGGTGCTGGTGCGGGGTTCGCCCGGCACAGGTCGCCAGTCCATTACAGGGCAACACAGGGCAACCAGCCATTCACGCCCCCAGTCACACCTAAGGAGAATTTATAGAAGCCAATTAACCTAACAGTCATGTTTTTGGACTGTGGAAGGAAGTCAGAGTACCCAGAGAGAACCCACACATGCACAGGGAGAACATGCAAACTCCATGCAGAAAGAATTGAACCCGGGACCGTCTTGCAACAAGGCAACAGTGCTACCCACTGCACCACTGTGCATCCCTGCCTTTTTATTTCCATCATGGATATTTTCTACTTCCTCTGCTGCCTCTTAAAACACATTCCTCAATGATAAAACCCTGATAGTGCCTCTGTCTGCGTCGGTTTAAAATATGCACCTGTTTGAACTGACATATTGTCCGATTGAAGCTGGGAGGGGGAATCAAACAAAGCAATACTGAGATCCTCTGTGTGGAAAATGTCCACACCCATCCTGGTTTAAATTCCAAATTAGTGGTCAGAATCATCAGCTGAGAAGTGACTGTCTCCATAAAAGTGGCAGATGAGGATGTCTGCTGCTCTGCAGCATTCATGCTTTGGTGTTTTAACTCAGCAACAATGGTAGAGTGTTGGAATTCTGTCATTTTACAACAAGAAAAAATGAGCATCCCACTAAAATAACCCTGAAGTCAGCCTCTTAAAGGCTCCAATAGATTTCCTCTGATGGGTTAAAAAAAGAGCTACATTTTTAGACCTTGAAGGCCTCAGTTATAGAAGTAAAATTACCTTTGTTTCTCATGCTGGAGAAATTTAGGGTGTGACGGAAGCAAAAACTGTTTGACAGAAGCAGAGGTGTTTAATTATAATTTACATACTCAGTTACGTTTGCTTTAGTAACATTTTGAAATAAATATACTAATTGGAGTAGTTGTTATCTACTCTATGCTTTTATTTAACTAATATAGCTATTCATTTGATAGGAAGATTCAGATCAGGTAATTTGGATATCCAAAATCATTTATGGGTCCAATAGGCCTGCAGCTATCGATTATGTAAATATTTAATTAATCTATCACATTTTTTTCATTTAATCTAAAAAAAATATAAAAAAAAAAACACTTTAGTAAATTATGTATTTAAATAAGCGAATGTTTTGAATTGAGGGAATTTTAATAGAATTTTTTGAAATCAGTGAAATCGGGTATTTCCTGTAAGGTTCAGTCAGACTTCTGCACCTGTTGGTTCGCTGTTCATAAGCAATGTGCTTGAATTTGTCTGGGACAGTTTTTTTTAGAATTGTATTTTTAAATACAAATCTAAACTCTATATTATTTTACCAACTTAGGAATAAAAATTTATTTCAGACAATTTTGACAAACGACAATAAACAACAATAAATAAATCAACCAAATACACACAAGAGACTAGTTAACATTAACCAAACCAAACACCAATTTTCAAACTAACCGAACACTTAAACATAAATAGAACAAAAGCCTCATCCAAAAAAACCTGTCGGTATTGTGTCATAGCGTTCCTTGACAGTGTCATTCCTAAGTCACCAATTTAGTGCTACTTGGTCCCAATATAATTTCCCATTGGGAACCTACTAGCACTAAGTTGCTAACTGGTTAGCAAGATGCTTCTGACAAACCGGACAAAATCAAACTTGCTTGCGAACCTTCCGCCACAGCAACTCCTCCCCTTTGATAAACGACCAATCACGTTGCCTTTATTCACTCGTGTAGTGAGAATTTGTAAATGCAACGGTTGGAACAGCATTTCCCTTTAACTTTGACTTAAAAAACTCAGGCTTTCAGCTCTTTTTCAGTCTTCTGGGAGTATATTCCAGATCAGTGGAGCATATGAACTAAATGCTGCTTCTCCATGTTTGGTTCTAGTCCTGGCTGAACAGAGTAGACTGGAACTAGAAGACCTGAATGGTCTGGGAGGTCGATACACTGAAAACAAATCTGTTATGATCCATTCAGTGATTTCTATAGTATATTTGAGCTACAGGCGAAAGGACTTCTGAACCAGGCTGATTTCGATTTTTTTTCCTATATAATCCATTTGGTAAAGCTGAGTTTGACCCCTGACCTCATAAACTGATCTTATCAATGGCTGGAACCTCACACAGCTTAACGTGCGGCCGGGCTTTCCCACGACGGAGGCTCATTACTGACGGGTTTCACCAGGAGCGCTGATCTCTGGGCTCAGCGACGTGTTTTCAAAAGTCTGATCAGTCTTTTTCTTTCTTGTCATTAGTTGTTGACACTAGATTGTGGATTATAAACGAAAGCTCTGCCTTTGTGGACGTGCTTTAAATTAGCGAAATGTGGGATAAAGCAACTAAAACAGAGTGTGTTTCTGGAAAACCTTCCAGGAATTTTGGGATTTAACGAACACCCATTCAAGTCAGAATCTGTCTGTGGCCGCATGCTGAGCATTTTACCTCATGGTCTTCCTTTGTGTCCTCTGTTTGTTTTCACCGAGCAGAAGAAGGAGCGGGAGTGCATGCAGCTGCGCATCGCCGTGCTCCGCAGTGAGCTGCAGCGGCAGAAGAAGGCGCTTGGCCGGGAGACGGACATTCGACAGAAGGAGAGGGCGCGGCTTCAGAAGAAAGGTAACTCGGATGGAAGGAGACGAAAACCACATTTCCGTTTATAAATGGAAACCAAGGTTACAGCTGGACCTGCACGGTGATTTTAACTACATGAATAGTTGTAATAAATGCCAAACCTCTTAGAAAATTCCTTTCACTAGTTTGTTTTCTAGTGAGCTTTTGTATTGTTTAATTCTCCTTGGTGTAATAAAATACCAATCTTCACTTTCTCCTCCAATAACAGCTCACCCAGCGTAGAATTACTCACCGTTTGCTGTTTTAACCCTGTGACCCTGCTAAACCTAATGCAGACGCACAAGTAGAGAGAAATGAAAAGAGCTTCTGCAACTCATTTATTAGCCTCAAGTGGAGTCGGTTTACTCAAATACTTAATGCACTTGTGTTAGAAAACTTGTTATGATGGTGAAAACATGTGCAACTAATTCCAGCATCAGCCCTTTTTACTGTTTTCAGAAATATCTTACACTTGACACCATCTCAGATCCCACAGGGATAGAAAATTATTAAATGCATGAGAGATATTTTTATTTTACCATGATGAACTCTTTTTCATTCTAACATGCTTTCTCAACAGAAACAGATGTAAGTTAAGTGTGCAAATAAATGTGAACTAGGTAACCCAAATATAACACTCTTTCTGTAAAGCTAATATCATACAGGTAGCGTTAGCTTATGTTACTGGGAGGTTCGTTTCATTAAAGCACATACAAGATTTTAACAGACTCATTTGGAGTTTAGATGGATGCCCTTTGGTTTTTTTGACCGTCACCCTCTTTATCGACCGCTAAAGAACTCGCTTCTCTCTGCAGAATGGACGTGTTTTTCAGGAAACGTAATATTCCATTCACAGGTTTGAAAAGGAAAACTCTACCTCGGGATAAATTAGCATTCAGTTGCTGACCAATGCTGAGCTGAACTGTTGGTGCTCTTTCCCAAACTCCCAACCGAAGAGAGAAAAGATAAATGCTGTTTGGCTCTGCTGTTTGTTGTAAACCTTTCTAATCAGCCCACATGCATTAGCCTGTTTTATGATCTGGAAAAAACCTGCATTTATTATGAAGCTATTGCTTTTGGCGACAGGTGTTTACAGTGTTCCATAAAGCTGCTGATTTTGTTTGTCTCATCGGATCCCATCTTTGAAGGTATTCAGGATTTATTAAATGTGGTACATTTTCCAAACTTCCTTTTGAAACCCATACACTCCCATTGGGGGGGTAATGGCCCAGCGGTTAGAACAGTGCGCTTTTGCTCAAGGTTGCAAGTATCCGGTTCGATCCCCACAGCCTGCACTCTGGGTCCCTGAGCAAGACCCTTAACCCCCACACCTACCCTGGGTAGCGCACAATGGCTGCTGCCCAAGGAGATGGATTAAAATGCAGAGATAAATTTCTCCTGTGTGAGATTAATAAAGTCCAATTAGTATTTTAATTATTATAATTATTATTATTATTATTAAATGGAAAAACATCCCTTTGTTCATGGGTCTAGATAAAAAATTTAGACTTGATAACTGAAAAGTTTTTTCTTTCTTTTTTGTCTTACAAAGTAACTAAAAATAGCCTAAATACATTGAATTAATTATTATTTATTCTTGCATAAACGAATGGATCAGTAAGTTCCAAGCATCCAGGGTTCAGTATCTGCTTAAATGATCCAAGATGGAGGGATGGACGGGGTCTCTCTGTCACCAGCAGTAACGGGAAGCAAAAATGATAAAGTTGTCACATTTGATCACACAAGCTGTAGTGAAATTTTGTTGAAATATGAAGAACCGGAGTAAAACTGTGTGGAGGTTGAGATGCTAAACAGCTAATGGGCTTTACCTATATAGAGTTTTAGCAAGTTCAAGGAGCCCAAAGCCCTTTATGCAATATATGAGCAATTCTGCCATGCAGTCACCTCTGAGTTGACCAGCAGGTAAGGCAGAGGAGAAGTCCTACCCAAGGATGAACCCCTACCTCCTCAGGCAGTGTTGCTGTGTACAAATCCAAATAGTTGAATGTGTGAGTGGCATATGATTGGTTCTATTTCATCCCTACTGTCATCCGGGATTCATAGAACCGTAGTTACGGTAGTAACTTTCGATTCTGTGTCAACCTCCCTTTCCTGCTATTCCTGCTGCTTGTCTTCTGAGATAAACGTCTTACAGCTTTGGGCAGAAGGAAGCATTCTAGTTAAAGATACGGTTCAACTCAATCGTACCACAGATTTTCCACCGGATTTTTGTCTGGGTCTTTCTAACACACAGATGTGTGGTCAGGGGTGAGGTGTGCCACATCGAATGGAGGTCTGGACAGAACCACTGAACCGAACACATTCTTCCAAAGGTTCAGTTCAACAACAAGCAGTGTCCTTCTCTGCTGCCCACAGGCAAACAGACATATCTCCCTCCACTGACCCAAAGCTCTCCGGTCAAAAACATCCAAGGTTTTATATTCCACCTTGGGCCAAATGAGCAGAAGCTGGTTTTTCCTTGGCCTCTCCCAGGTGAAAAGACAGCTGGAGAGACTGAACCAGAACAAGGCTGCAGGTCCAGATGGTGTCAGCCCCAGAGTCCTGAAGGCCTGTAGGTTTCTACAGCACTTTCACAACCTTAGCCTGACCCAGGACACCGTTTCAGTGATGTGAAAGACCTTTAGGACAAAGAAAAGTAAATATCCATCAGTCATCTGTGACAAGACTTGTTACCCTGACATCCTAAACCCTGCAAATAAGCAGCTATCAGGACCCCCTGCAGTTTGTTTATCGCCTTGGATTTGGAGTTGAAGATGCCATCATACACCTGCTTTAACAAATGCTTTTTCATTCAGACAGGGCAGACGGCACGCATGTTCTTTGCTTTCCTCAGTGAATTTAACACCATTCTATGGAAGAAAAGCAGCCTCATTGAAATCTACCTTTTTTTATTAAACGCTGAAATATTTTACACCTTATTTTAAACATTGAAGTTTTTTACACATTAGATTCCTTACACTGAATTTTAATCTGATGAAAATTCACCTGCAAAAAAATTCTCCTGTAAAAAATTAACTTGCAAAAAATTACCCTAAAAAAATTAACCATCAAGATATTTGCCGGCAAAAAATTTGCCTGCAAAAATTCAGCTCCAAAAAATTCAGCCTCAAAAAATGTGCCTGCAAAAAAAATTGGCTGCAAATGTTTTGACCTTTTGGTGAACTCAAGCCAAAGCAGTCTACACTCAGTGCAGTCGAGCAGCTTGTAGCCAATGACATTAGCTTATTTGGTCAGGAAAAAAAAAAAAAAAAAAAAAGATTGCCACCAGCCGCTTCTTCCATATCAAACCAAGAGCCCTGTTAGACAGGGGTGCCGCACTAGCTTTGATTGGCTCAGTTCGCCGACTGGGGTTCAAGGAGACAGAAGCAGAGATACAAAAGCAATTGTAAAAGGCGGCCCCGTCCAAGAAACACACAGCCAGACAGACGAGCTCCGAGCCAGCTCCCATGTCAGCGGATGAAGAGACTCTACACGGAATTTTACACTGAATTTGACCAGATAAAAATTCAGTGTAAGTAATTCAATATGAAAAAAAAATCAGTGTTTCAAATTTGGTGCTACAAAAGTTCAGTGTTTAAAATATGGTGTACAAAAAAGGCAGATTTCAGTGAGACTGTTTTTCTTCCATATCATTCTTCCTGATTGTTATTTTTTAAATGGTAAAAAACTCTTAGGTTAAGGCTTTAAGAATCGCTTCGATCAGAAACGGACCACAGTTTTTACCTAAAACTGAGGGAAAATGGGCTACCTCTGCATCGCTAGTCTGGCAGATGGCGCTGCGGAGCCCTTTTGCTCTGCGGCGCAGTTCTATAACTGTAGTTGAGGCAGTCACAGCGGAAGATGTGGACTGACTCAAACCCCAAGCAACATGGATACCAAAAAAAGTGAATGATCAATATCCTCTGATGAACTTAAATAAATGTTGCTTATTTTAATCGAGAAATTCAATTTCGTATATATAATATCGTAACGCAACACCCGTCCCAATACTCACCCCTACCTTCACTCCAGTCTTAACTCTTTGGCTGCAAGTTTCCATGTCCCTGCTTAGTGAAGCATCCCCATAGCATGGTGCTGTCACCACTATGCTTTATAACAGGATGGTGTGGTTTGGATGATGGGGTCTGGGTAATAGTTTAGTTGACATTACCTTTAACTAGTCCAGTTTCCCTAAATCCAAGCCTACATCCGGAAAGCTTCTTCTATACTTTGTATTTGAAAGCCTGTGGAATAATCTTTAGTATCGGTAACTCAGAGTAGGTAGACGTTTTCTGTGTGATATGTGTATTGTATTTTGGTGTTGCGTATTGCAGGCTAACAAGGAACGCAAACGACTGCTCATTCCAAAGGGACGGACCCGTTCGTCCGGTTCAGTTTGCATTTTTTCTAAGCCAAAACAAGGCTTTGTTTTTGGTCCACTCTATAAAGCCTTAAACTCAGTGCTGTTTCTAACATTTTGAATTAAAAAAGCTTAACGGATGGGACGCAAAATGTCTTCAAACTTGGAAACAAAGTCCTGGATTGTTTTTTTTTTTACTTTTTTGAAAGGCTTCTCTGTGCGGCTTTCCCAGTCTACTGCATTGTTGTGCAGGAATGTTGTCCAAGTTTCTTTGATAATCCAGTTGCTTTAACTGGTTTTAGCTATCTGGCAGATTGTTATACACGGTGATGCTATATTCCTGTGGCCACAAAACAGCCCAAGTCCTCACCCCTCCACTGCCATGCTTTATAAAAATGCTAAAGACATCAGGTCTGTGATGTGAACAAAAGATGATGTAGATAGGGATCAATAAAAGTATATTATAAATCTTCTTTCTGCTGGCATTAATATGTTTTAAAACTGTAAAATCAATAAATACCAATATGCAGCAAGCATGACTTCAGGGATCAGGTTCTTATAAGTTGGTCTGATACAACATAACGCCCTCAAAAGTGTTGTTAAGGCCATGCTTTGACTGTAGGCTATGGTTGAACTCGGTGCTCCT